CCACATCGATGTAATGTTTTATTTTGCTCTTCGTTTGTTTGGCCATAATTGTTGTTACGTTTAGGAGGTGAAATGTCTCGCTTTCCACCCTCGGGAACAGATTTTAGCTTCCGGCTCTCAGGACTCAACGCTTAAGTTTTTTGACTTTACAAAATCTTCGGTTAAACGTGCTTTTAAGACGGTTTTTGTACGTAAGAATTTAACTTAGCGAGAATTTCGATTATTCAAATTTCTGTTCGCTTTTAGGAAGTTGAGCCGGTGCGCTGCTTGTCTTTCCACCCCACCGGTGATTTCATTCTCGTTGGCACTAACCACCCTACGCGTAAGTTTCCGTTCTTTTCCTGCTGTTTAGATCTTTATAATTGTATTATTGAGCAGATTTCTTTGTTGTTTTGTTGCCAATTGCAAAATAGGAACAGTTATTATAATTAGGCTTTCTTTTTCATTAGCTGTTGAATGAAGGGTCTCCCTAAGACCTTGTCATAGACTTTTGTGTTCTGTGTTTCTTGTCCATTTTGATCCAGAGAATTTCTTCAGCTCATCTTGTCACCGATCTGGAGGTTTTCCTACGGGTCGTTTACTCTCTCTTGGAACAAAGTCTAATGTTTTTTGTCATCCCATGATTGGTTCTTCCTGCAACCCGTTATGTTCATTGCTATTTCGACTTCCACTCACAATGACGTCCCACTCCCCTTTTGTGCTCTTACCAATTTATCAGTCTTCCTATCTTTTCTTATTTTCAGCATGCGTCTGTTCCTTCTGTGTTGGGTAGTGGTATTTGGTATCCATATCTTAGCACTGGGAGCACACCTTCATCGAATATAATTTCCGTTTCAACCAGAAGACAGTTTCCCGGATAAGATTATTTTGGGTCTTCTAAAACTATTCGATGCCATTTTTATTTTTTGTTGACTTCGCAGAGTCTGACCTAGTTTTGCACCTGTTCAAACCTACGTCCGTTAACTTAAACAGATCATACGACCACATATTTGTTAAACATGACTTGAGTCTTCTTCAGATTCCTTTCAGATCTTATTTTGATATCAGCTGCGTTCATCATCGTTTGGTTTTATCTTTGGACTTCTTCTAGTGATATTGAAAATAAGAGAATATCGTTCACAAGCTGCAGGTGGCTTAGGTAGTACTCATTTATTTTCACAACCTAATTATCCCCTTGGAGTGTCTTAATGACCTCTTCTGAAGCTGCTATGAGTATCTTCAGTGGCACTGCATCTCAGCGTTGGACGCCCATTTTGATTCGATACTGCTGGTAATTTTTTACGGTTTTCATTGGCAGTTACTTTTTTGTAAATCTTGGCGATGAGATTTCTGTATCTTTTCTCGATTTTCTGACTCCTCAAAAAATCCAGTACAGAATGGATACACACTGGGTCAGACACCTTCTTGAAATCGACTAACTCCCAGCAAAAATAAAGCAGACATTCATGGATTGTCAGCTGGTATTGGAAAAATACATTGAAAAACGTTGTTGTTATAATAAGCCTCTCCTTCACGTTTCGGTCTGCATTTCACGCTGTATGCGATTAGCGGCTGCAAAGAACAGTTCATATTGTCTAATAAGAATTGAGTCTTGCAGAAAATCAGTATGTAAAATGCCACTTTTAAACATTAGACATCGTAAACTGAAATACTCTTTTGTTGAAGCTTTGTTAGCCTTACATGATTAAAAAAATATCTAGGAAAAGGAATCAGTACTTCAGATATTGTGTATTTCACGTTGTTGTAGCTACGGCTTTCACTACTATTCTACTCATGCTTTATGACATTGTAGCTTAAATGATGTAAGAGAGGGATAGACTTATTCACTTAGACAAAAAAGTATGCTTATAAAATGTGATTCTGTTTCTCTTCCGATAGACGTAAGTTTCGCGTGTACATTCATGGCGTAAACGTTAACGTGGGATATAGATAACGCCCACATAGGCTCAAAGGAGTTTTGTGTTGTGTAAGCCAGAAATCCATAGAGAAGGATTATGCGGCGATGCGGAGCCGTGTCGCAGTATAACCCAGTGAAATCACTTATACAATGTCTCAGTATCGCTATAAAGTAAGCAGCTTTAATGTTTTTGCCGTGTAAATCCGGTATCGGCAGTTAAAAGACAAGTAGTATATAGTAACTGGATTAGATAAAAGTAAATAATAAGCTATATGACGGCAGAAGTTTTTATCTGTTATACATGGATGACCTGAAGCTGTATGTAGTGTTGGTAAAGAAGTTTAAAAACTTATTTCAGAGTCTGAGCATTTTTCTGTTGATATCATAACTTGGACTTTGATGCAGTGCTGGGAATTTTGTTTCCTTCCCACAGAGTGTTACTCGTTTATCTACCTCGAAAGGAAGAGTGGCGCTTGACATAAACGACACTTGAACTCTGGGACCTTTCGGTTTTGAGTTCAGTGCTTTACCTACTGAGCAACCCTAAGCCAAAATTTTAAAAGAATGCTAAATGTAGGAGTTAAAACTTGGTGGGAATAAAAAACACTTCGTCGTATCGTTGACAGTGTCTACAAGCTGTTATGTAGATATGATACTAGCGAAAACCACTGGATGACCCGAGAAGATCCTGGTCATTGATGGGCTCATAAATTCAAACGTAGATGCGGGCAGACTAATGCAATCGTAAGCAAGGACGAAGTCGGCTTCGTAATTACAGGCATCACCCATGAGGCAACTTTTGACTACGACAGTTGGCGATAGGTGCTGACGGCTATAAAGGTTAATGACCAACTAAAATAAAATACGTCTGAAAGAAATCTGTATAAATGCGTAGAGACCGCCAGGTGCAGTGGCTGGAAGAGTAAAGAATTTGATTTCAAACTTTTATCTAGTATCGGACAGTGGATTCCATGGAATTAAAGCTGTTCTCATAGTTTCCCGAGATCAAGCGTTGAATACAAATTCGCACAAATCCAAAATGCTGTATCATTTGCTAACGGCTTTTTATGACATGGTTGCAAGAACAGTCCATTGGCGTTTGTACAAAGTCGACATACCAGTCAGAAAACAGTAGTATCAGGAATCGACACGAATGAGAGAGGTGGAAGAAGTAAAAATACTTTGGTCTTCCCAATAAGAGCCGAGCAACAATGATTGGTTCTTATACCGTTCATCGTACTGGTAAACGTAATTTAGAGGAGGCTACAGTTTTTCGATATACAATACTCATCGTATATTTACGGGATGCAGCAGGACTGAAATGTCAACACTTAAGGACGGAAGTTCATGAGATGTTCAGATAATGCGGAAACAATTCTTGTAGCGATCGATGCCTTGGAAGGAGGGAGCATAAATGCTCCTGAAGATAGCGAAAAGATAAAGAATGAACAGCTGCAGAACGTGACCTTTCCAGGAACAACCCATATTATGAAGAGACTGTTCCAACTCCTAAAGCCTTGGTAGAGAATTCGATTTGAAGAGGGAAACAAGCCACTTGTGAAGTGGAGAGAGAAAATTTTATAAGCAGGTATCAAAATACTCCCACTGCTGCAGCCAAGTACTTCGGTCTTATAATAATTGGCGCATGAACAAAACACTCGTTTTGTTTTAAGTTCCTCAGAAATTTGTACTCTTTCAGAGCTAGTGAATTCAGCGAAGTAGTTTTCCAATCCAGTGGTTATATAAACGACGTTCACGCTGAAGGAAATAATTACAGATCGACTCTTCAGACAAAAACCATTCTGTCAGTTCATTTTAAGGACATATACTAGTATCCATTTTTGTTCCGAATGTTAACTTCCAAACCAATTCTTACGTTTTTGAGCCTTCTTTCCTGTAACCAGGGAAATGAAAGATTTCTTCATTTTATCAACTTATTTCATTAAAAGTTTTAATTTAAATCACTATCCGTTTACCTTGAAACTGTATTTCTGTGTTTGACCTGCCTGGAAACTATTTTGTTCGATTCTAGTTCGAATATATGATGTGGAAACGATTCAGTCGTTCGTCACCAAGGTTCCCACCGATCAGCACTGTGGATCTATAACAGATGTAAGTCGTTCTCTGAATGACTTGAAGCCGTTCGTTGTGTTTTGTTTGTGTTTGTGACACGCCTCCATCGTCTAGGTTCATTATGCGAGCAGTGGCCGATGTTTCGTTTCGGCATCGAAGGATGGCTCAATCAAGATCTGGGACGGTGTTTCTTGTCGCTGTATCAACACCTTCCAGCGTGCGCATGACGGTGCCCAGATTTGCTCAGTAGTTTTCACCAGAAACGGCAAGGTATCGATTGTAGCATACAGACGAGTAGATAAACGTCATCTACATCAGCGTTGTTTATGACATTTTTCCTGTTAATCTCTGTTAATTTGTTTTCAGTACATTCTCAGCAGCGGAAAGGACAACATATTAAAACTATGGGAACTTTCGACCAATCGTTGTCTCATCGCATATACCGGCGCAGGTGCAACTGGCCAGCAGGAGCACCGCATTCAGGCTGCATTTAACCACACGGAAGACTACGGTAAATGGCTTTCAGAAGTTATTGGTCGTCAGTGCATAAACTTTCAATTTTCAGTGTTGATCATAGAAAAGTACACGTCTAAAGTTTTTTGCATTTCGCTGGTCCGGAATAAGGGTATCAATAACGCTTAGCCAGCATTAGCGGCGCTGTAAAATCAATGAAACCTCTAGTTGTTCCAACATTTTTATTGTTCCATACATGGTGGGTCTGCTCAGACAAAATATCTCCTTCAGGTCTGTTCTGATGGTCTACTTCTGGGTCTCATGGAAAGGACGGTGATCGATTCCATCTCCAGTATTTACAGACGTTAGTAGCCAGGCTATTACAGACAAAAACGAGTGATTCTGTACTACTCTACTATGTTAGTATTAATTGGAAAGGAATCGACTAAGGATTCGTTCAGGAAGAGATGATTCAAGATTCATTTGACACTAAGGAGCTTTCTCAGACTTTTCGTATGGAAGACTTGATAATTACTACCACAAGGTTATACTGGAGGGGCTAACAAAAATTATGTAATAATTGCAGTATTGTGATTATGACTGACTAATTCAGAGTTATTTCTCATAAACTAAAAATGACAGTCAGTCAGTTTCAGTGACCGCTTATTCTTTCGGGTCGCGGAGGCTCCTACCTCTGACACTGTCTCAAGTCTTCCCGGTTCTTTGTCGGTGTTTGAGCTTTGGCTAAGCATAAGCCGTGTCTGCAGCAGAATGTATCGAAAAATCTTGTCCAAAATTATTATTTTCTGTCCTCTCGATCTTCGGCCGGTCGCTTGGGTAAGAAGTAGCTGTTTCGCTTTCCTTTCTTAAAGGAAAGTCATAAAACAAACCTATGGTTCTCGACATTCACTAGTTTGACAGACTTTTAGTGTTGTACTCACTGAAAGCGATTCAGTAAGATGTAAGTAATAAATATCTGCTGATCTTTAAGTCAACTCGCAACCACGCGATGCGCGCTGAATTAATAAATTCT